CTCTCTTCCCTCCCCCCCCCCTCTCTCTCTCCTCTCTTCCCCCCCCCCCCCCCCTCTCTCTCCTCTCTTCCCCCTCCCCCCCTCTCTCTCTTCTCTCCCTCCCTCTTCTCTCTCCCCTCACCCTCTTCTCTCTTTCCTCCCCCTCTCTCTCTCTCTCTCTCTTTATTCTCTCTCTCCCCCCCCTCTCTTCCCTCTCTGTTTCTCACATTGTATGGAGCTGCACACACACACACCTCCTCCAAGGGCTGCTGATCTCAGTGCAGCAGGAAGGAGGAGGGGGGGGGGGGGTGCAGTCCCATATGATCTGTCAGTTCAGGGAGGGAAACAGGGAGATCCCGCAGACCACAGCACAGCTCACCTCCTTCGGATCCTCTCCTCTCCTTGCTCCAGGCTGTCCCCTGGTCCCGGCTCATCAGCTGCTGGAGGGAGAGGTACAGGAGCATCGCTCTGCAACTGCCCTCCCCCACATCAATCCTCCTGCTGTCCTCCGGGCCACTGCAAGAGTACCAAAGGTACCCCTCTGCTGGCGGCCCTGCATGGCTCTGTCCGCCGCTGCTCTCAAGGTCCCTTCTTCCGGGGGGGCGGTGCCCCCCCTAAAAATTGCCGCCCTAGGCAAACGCCTTGTTTGCCTCGCAGTAGATACGCCCCCTGTAGTGAGGTGCAGATGTCACCTACTAAATCATACAGGTAAGTGTTCAGATAGCATAAGTAAGTCTGGATCCAATTAGTCACTTATTGATTCAATCCTACCACAGCAAGTTCCATCACCAAACTTCCAGGACCCCTGGGGATCTATTTATTAAAGTGCAAGGATTAAATAAAAAAAGTAATCTGAATAGCAGAACATGCACATACAGGTTTGTATTGCTTATTCATGCCCCCACCATTCACCCCACTTCCAGCATAATTGGACACTTGAAATGAATGGCAGGCTGTGCATTTCACACCTAGGCCTTCAGTGATGTCCTACCTGAATTCATTCGGCAATTTTTGCCTGGAACCTCAAAAATTCAGCATGGAAAAACAGGAGCACAAAAAAATGGGGCCTGGATTAGCCAGGGTTAATTGTATTAAAAAAATGAAGATACTGTAAATTGCATTATAATCACCAAAACTACTGATTATCTGTACGCTTAATCCATCCTCCTTTCTTTCCTCAACAAGAGATCAATTCCAGCCATAAGTTCTTTTCTATCACCACAGAGGCTAATGTGAAACTTGAGTCTGTCCAGTTGTATACTTAAGTTTTAATATATGTTTTCCATTAATGTGTGTTAAATGATTCCCAATAGTCTATTCTCTTCATTTCATAGTTTTTCTCTTGGTTGTACTGCTTCTAGTAGTGTATGTTTGAGCTTTTAACCAATCATATGGCAGCCATGATAGGAATCATGTGTTGCCAGTAAGAAATCTGATTGAGGCATTCTTTCATAAGTTATTGTATGCCTACTAGATGGCCCCAAGGTCCCCAACTCAAAATCTGAACGGTTAAAACAACAGATTCATTGCCATTTACTGTAAGCTACAGAAGCCAACACAGTTGATTCTGAAGGTCTCAAGGCAGTTTTCTGGCAACACATGAAGGCTATCATGGTGAAATGTTAGGATAAAAGCTCTAACATAAAACATACACTTCTAGAAGCAGTGCAACCAAGAGAAAAGCTATGACATGAAGAGAATAGACTATTGAGAATAATTTTTTTTTTATCGGCGAGTACGAGTACTGATACTGTCAGTCATGTACTTGACGATACAGATTACCAATACTTTACAGTATGATGGATGCCAATTGCACCACAAAGATTAGCATGCGATTTGAACAGGACCGCAATTCCTGTTCAAATCGCATGTGGTTTCCACACTGCTTCTGTGTGAACCCAGGCTTGTCATAGCGTGAGTTCACACAGGAGCAGTGCAGAGAGGTTTCTCACAGCGGAGTGGGGATGTAGACTATGGTGGCAGTTGCTCCATTTCTCCATTTCAAATCCCCGCCACTTTCTCTCCTCTCCTGCTGCTGAAAATATGGAGTAACTGCCTCCATAGTATACATCCCCACACACCCACTCTCCTCTTACCCTGGGATCCATGCAGGGAGGTTCCCGCATTGCTCCTGTGTGAATTCAGGCTATGACAAGCCTGGGCTCACACAGGAGAATGGGAAAACCACATGCAATTTGGACAGGAATCGCATTCCTGTTCAAATGAACTGCTAATCTTTGCAGTGAAATTTGTATTGATGCAAATTGAACCGCTAAGTATCAGTTTCCAGTATCGGGAGCATTTTCACAAGTACTCATGAAAATACGCAGTATCGGCACCTGCTATCGGTATCGATGCATCTCTAGAAAAAATATATTAAAAAGTAAGTCATTGATTTTAATAGGCATGTTTAGGCAGTGCTTAGGCCAGCAGAAAAGGCCTTGCTGGCCCTAATGGCCCACCACTGCTTGAAACACATATCCATTGAAAGGGCCTGGATTATTTTCATTACACTCTCCATAACACTGGGTTTCCATTTTTCATTAATGTATCAAAGATGCGCATATATATGGATAGCAAACAATGGAAAATAAACATTTTAGAACAGTGTGCCCTTTTGCTGGCTCTTAACCTGCCCTTGGGGTACTATTCCTTCCATTGACAACAATAGTAGGGCATTATTTCTCCCACTCACAATGGGACACCTTTCCTCCTCCTAGAATGAAATATGTCGCCAGCACACCAACAAACTTGCTTCAAAGTACAAAGCTCTTTATTCTTGTATGATCACATAGAAAAGCAACATTTCATGACCACACAGGGACTCATTCTTCAGACATCACACATGCTCTCGACATATTTCATCCATGTTGTACCCTATGACTAGTTGGGAGTCATTGCAGAACACTTTTAATTACATGGTGGGTTCCAGTAGGGTATGGGAAAGGCATATACTACATGCCCATTCCTCCCACTGACACAAATGATAGGGCACCTTTCCTCCCATTGCAACTGTAAGGTAATAGTACTCCCATTGACACCAATGGTGGGGCATGATTCTTCCCGCTAACACCAAAAATAGGACACCATTCCTCCTACTGACACCAACACTGGGGCTTTATTCATCCCACTTACACCAATAATGGGGCATTATTCCTCCAATTGACACCAGTGGTGGGGTAATATTACTCCCAATGACACCAAAAGTGGGGCACTATTCCTCCCACTAACACAAAAAAATAAGCCACCATTCCTCTCACTGACACCAACATTGAGGTGCTATTGCTCCTAACACCAAAAATGGGGCACCATTCCTCCCACTGACACCAACACTGAGTTGCTATTTCTCCAAATGACACCAACAGTGGGGCACTATTCCTTCCACTGATACCAACGATGGGGCACTGTTCCTTCCAATGACACCCAGAATGTTGCATTATTCCTTTTCCCATTGACCACCCAAAATGCACTCTCTGCTCCTCACAAGACCTCCTTCTCTCTAGTTCCCTGGTCTCCTCCTCCCATGCCCGCCTCCAGGACTTCTCCAGGGCATCACCCATCCTATGGAACTCCCTACCAAAATCCATCAGACTATCACCTACTCTCCTCTCCTTTAGGCGCACCCTGAAAACCCACCTCTTCAGGGAAGCCTACCCTGCCCTCTGCTAATTGCCGATCTCCTCCATTCTTCCTACCACCCCATCCCCCACAGCTATTCCTCCCGTACCACTATCCCCTCCCTCCCAGAATGTAAGCTCCAAGGAGCAGGGCCCTCGAACCCCTCGTGTATCGCATTGTATTGTTATTGTACTGTCTCATGTATTGTCTCCCATTGTAATGTACAGCGCTGAGCGAACTGTTGGCGCTATATAAATACTGTATAATAATAATAGGTGCTAGGTAATTTTTACTCCCCATCTGGACATTTTCTACTCCTACTGGCCACAGTCTGGTCCCGTTCAAGTGTAAAGGATAGCAAATTTAAGAAAGTATTAGGACCCTTGTTTTATAGCATTGAAAAGAAAATGTATTGTTACACAGTCACCCCTAGTCAGCATACCAGCTAATTATGAAAACCTTGTCTAGTACAGCTTGGAATCACATCTGCCATATATATATTAGCATGTATGTTATGCTAAGTGTTCTTAATAAACGGTATCATACTATGGGAAGCTCTGTTTGTGTCCTATATGACGTTTGAGAGGAGGTGGAGTGGAAGTCCTGTGGTCCCTTGCTGAGCTGCCTGGAGTAAAGGATTGCCTTTGAGGAGAGTCTTTGCCTTGTGGCCCTGTGTGGGTCGAGGTCGGGAGGTGAGCAGGCATTGCTGCCATTGGAGGATTCCTTTTTGAGCACTAGAAGTGAAGATCACAGAGTGTTTTCACATTATATGCATGGACTTTCTGAGTTTATTCTAGACACAGTGTTCATTTATTTATCACAGAATTAAGTAGATTTCTTTTTATTCTGATATATGGTTTTATCACAGAATTTATGTATTACGTATTTATTTGATGAAGAATCACAATTTATTTTGATCCATAGGTTTGTCACAATTTATCACGGATTGTCACATTTTTTATTTTATTATGAATTAGTATTATTATGATTATTGATTTCATATCACTGATATTTGAGTATTTAATATGAATTTTTTATTTGCTACTTTCCATCACAGATTAATTATGAGGTATTAATGATTGGTTTATATATGAGGTATTCATGTATTTTAGTTTTTCACCAGTAGACTTAGTATATATATTCTGTATCACCTTAGGGCAGGCATGTCCAAAGTCCGGCCCGCGGGCCACTTACGGCCCGAGGGTCGGTTTAATACGGCCCTCCATGTCAGTGTGTCAGTGTCAGTGTGTCTTATGGAGCGAATATGGAGCGGCCGGTCCGTTATTTCCACCGCGGCCGTGTCAGAATACCGGGCCGGCCACTCAGCTCTGCAGCGGGACCTTACCTGTTCCTCTATCCAGTGGCGCGCTGTCTTCCCGGCTTCTGTAGTGTGGGCGCTGGGCATGACAGCCGGGTGCCAAGTGCGCATGCGCAAGAAGCAATGCTTTTTGTGAATGGTAAGGCGGTACCTGGGACACATGACAGATCCCAGAAGCCGCCGGATCAATCACAAAGCGCAAGTGCTTCTCGCTCATGCGCACTGGGCACCCGGCTGTCATGCCGAGCGCCATTACAGAAGCCAGGAAGACAGCGCGCGGCTGGATCGAGGAACAGGTAAGATCAAACAAAAACTCTGCGGAAGTAAGAGCGGGTACCTGTCAAATTCAGGTACCCGCTCCCCACCTCCCCAAAGGTCAGCAGTCATCTGTACTGTCCGCAGTCTCTGGTCATCCCTGTGCTGTCCGCAGTCTCTGGTCATCCCTGTGCTGTCCGCAGTCTCTGGTCATCCCTGTGCTGTCCGCAGTCTCTGGTCATCCCTGTGCTGTCCGCAGTCTCTGGTCATCTCCTGTACTGTGTCTGCAGTCCATTAGTTCAGAATTTTTTTTTTTCCTGTTTTCTGCCTCTAAAACCTAGGTGCGTCTTATGGTCAGGTGCGTCTTATACGGCGAAAAATACGGTAACTTGGCATAAAATAATTTATTTGCATTTAATTGTAATGGTTCAAAGAATGTTTGGAAAAATGTTCGGCCCTCCACCATGTTCACTTCATTCAATCTGGCCCTCTTTGAAAAAAGTTTGGACACCCCTGCCTTAGGGTATTGACTATTTCAGGTTCAGTTGGTATTTATGATATGCATATAGGGAATTTTCTTAGGTAATTTTGGAGCACTTCACTATTTAGTACGTGGTATAAAAGAAGTGGTGCTATGTGCATTTTGGCAATTATACACAATACTCAGACCATGATTTGTGATACGGCCACATATTGTAGGTTGGAGTGTAGGTTGGCTGCATTCTCTGGGTTTCCCAATGCTCTTTGACCTTTTGGCGGTAAAACAATTACAAATTATTTTGTAAAAACATGAACTAATCCCACTACAGAAAATTGATTTCTTATGAGTTACTACATTATGGAAATCATTAGCATGCATTGCTTATTAAACCAAAATGATTTTAAACTTTCAAGGCCTGTGTGTTCCATCCCTGCAATACACGTGCATCTTGCACATGAAAGTGTTCATGAACATCCTTGGCAAATGTGTGACCTCTATGAGGTTAAGAATCTGTTAGCTATATAACATTTATTATATTTACTCATCCCCAGGCAAGAGAGTTCACAAATACTAAGAAATTAGATAAAACAGAGCAGGAAAATGAAAACTGAGTGATGCATTTGATGTGATAAGCAGCTGGTGTCGTTGGTTAAATAATCTTAATGGTCTGTATAAATGTATGGCAGATTACACAATGTATGGCAGATTTTTGGCTGCTTCCTCTCTCTTTTTATGGAGTTGTGTAAATTAATCTCATCATAATTTAATGATGAATGGTAACTGCTAAGAAAGGCTTTGATTTACTCTCTTTATTCATTTAGTTCCAACAGCAGTCCATATCCTTTACTTTGATACACATGCTTGGTACACTTTCCCTGCACTATAACATCACCTAGATAACATCATCATGCAGCAATGATTTTGCCAATAATAAATTCATCACTTGACAATGCAGAACTTGTCATTGGCCCACATGTTTCCCAGAGGTATCTGAATGTCTTCAGGCTTTTGCAGAAAGAGGTTCAGTGGTACAGTATATATGAACTTCCTGGATATGTGAGCCCTACTCCCCAGAGACTAAGACTGATAATAAAAACAGATTTTCCAGTAATAGAGATGTAGCAAAATGCCTATTTACTATTTAATGTTCAGATTTAGGCACAGGACCCTTCCACAATTCCCTAAGCTGCTGGACACAGCCAGGGAAGAAATATTCTTCAGCCTCCCTACCTGAGCTGCGCAGAGAGGCCAGGTGAGATGAGGCAGAGGTAGCTGAACAAATGTGCAGCCAGATGAGAGGCCCTCCACTGTCAATACTGACGGGCAAGCAGCCAAACCATATCCTAATAGTATGCAGCTTCTCTAAAAAATTAGTGTGGAAAGCTCCTTCCCAATTTCTGCCAGTACTCCAGTTCCAGTTTTAGTGCTTTGTCCTTTGATCTTGGATCCCTCCAGCTGGTTAACTGTGCTATCTGCGCTATCCTGGACTTCACTGTGGAGAAGACTGCCTCTGAGAATAATTGCAAGCATCTTTGTTCTGTACTGGTGCACTGAAGTAGTGATATTGAGACTATAGAAACTATGCCACATGTTATCCTGGCTAAGTCAAAAAGCCATTGCTGTGAGGACTCCATGTTTGTTCAGCTTTCATATGTTTGTGCAGCTTTCAACATTCTGTAGTGTATGCATGTTTATTGGCATCCTGAACCTATTTTTTATTTATTCATTACAGGTATTTTCATAGCACCAGCAATTTTATGCAGTGCTTTACACTGTACATTTACATCAATCCCTGCCGTCAAGGAGCTTACAACCTAATCCTATCTCACATGCATACATATAGCTACTAGGGCCAGTTTATACAGAAGCAAATTAATCTACCAGCATATATTTAGAAGGTAGGAGGAAACATGCCACCTCCATGCAGGTGGTGTCTTGGCTGGGATTCAAATCGATGTGCTAATCACTAAGCACAGAGGTGTTGCAATATTGCTTCTAAGTTTGTACCTGTTTGATAACCAGCAAATTACAGTTATATATTAAGTGAATAACTCCGCACTAGGTAACACTTGTGTACCAATATGTGGAAAATATAAATTAAATACAAAAATCCTATTGAGAAAGCTGCACTCACAAAAATATTTGAATGCAAGATATGGTCAGAACCTCAAACACAAATATGTTGGGCTTCCTTTTAGATGTGCAATTACTAACAACAACGGTTTAGGCAATAAAAACATTAAAACAATGTACAGTGAAGGTGATATCAAATTGATACAGTATACTGAAAAAAAAAAAATCACACAACACAAAAAGTCCATATCCAATGGGTGTACTGTGTAAATGATATTCACAAGTGGAAACAACAGGGCTCCACCACCACTGCAAACACAAGTCACTTACCAGACGTCTTGGATGCCCTTTGTTGAGGTCATAAAGCAATAGACCATAATGAGAATCCAACACATAGACCACCATGCTATATAGATAATCATCTCCTCAGCAATCTCATGTATAAGCCATACAAAAGGAAGAGGACAAGGTTCATAGCGTGATTCAGTATGAATAAAAGTTTATTAGTAAAAGAACAAGTCAGTACTTACAAAGGAAGATATATTCAGAGCATGTAATACACAAAGCAATGTCCGCTGACAGGAGTAATGATGGCAGCCTGCTAAGCTCCACCCAATGCATTTGGTCACAAGTAGACGTGATCACAGGCTGTCTCAGCAGTATCTATATAGCACAGTGGTTTATGTGTTTGATTCTTAGGATGGACTATGTGCATTTATGACCTCACCATAGGAGGTCCTAGGCTTCTGGTAAGAGGCTTGTATTTGCAGTGGTGTTGGAGCACTGAAATTGCCATGTGTGAATATAGTTTGCACAGTACATCCTTTGGATATGTTCTTTTTGCATTGTGTTATTTTTTTCTTACTATATTGTTTACATTTTACACCACCTTCACTGTATAGTGTTTTAGTTTGCACGATTGAGCAAATTACAGTTGCTCTCTGTTGCTGTCTGGTCAGTCAATCCATTCTGGTAAATTTGGAGGATGTCCCACCTCAGAGGTGGGCATGACATTTGCACCAAGCATGGCACATTTGTTATGGAAGAGGGAGTTCAACTTATGGATCACATGAAAAATAATGATTGGGATATTAATTTCACATATGAATATGATAAGCAATGTGTGAAAATGTTGACCTGGAAATATATAAGAAAGAAGATTGTATTTACATAAAAAATGACATTAAGGAGACAATATAAATAAAAATGACTATATCTCCAGAATTAGTGAAAAGTCACTCCGAGTGGTTGGCAAATATTCCAAATGGAAAAATGTCTGGGATCAAACAGAATTGCACTGAAACTCTTTGTTCACTTTTTTTTTTTTTGTAAATAAAAGGATTTTGAGGAGATAAAAGTTAAAGTAATAAAAAACAGATATGGAGTAATTATTAACAAAATTAATATGTTTTGTGATATAGAGCATAGACAAATAACACAGTTTTTTCATACACTTTGGTACATACTAAAGAGTGACCCTGTTTTAGGGAAGCATTTACCTGATTTCCCAATGTTAAAGAAGAAGTTTGGGGTTGCTAAAAAAAATAAACATTCATGCTCACCTGCATGCTGCAGCTTCAGTCTGAGGTTGCAGCTGCCCCCTGCCAGTTCTAAACCCAAGAACTGAGCAATCACATGACATGATCACGAAGTTCCTAGTCAGCTCTGAGCAGAGAGTGCTATCATTCTCTGCTCTTTGTTCTTCCCCTCCAGCACTCATTGGAGCACTGGGCTGGGGAGGGGGCAGGAGTCACTGGCTCTGGATCTCAGCAATGTTCTGAGAGACTGAGGTGGCTCCCAATCAGGTATCTGAGTAGATCCCAACAATATGGTCAAGATCCTTCCAGAGCCTGGAGTGGCTTTGTGACGTCAGCCAACAGCAGGCTGTAGCCTACTGTTAGCTGATTATGGGTCACAGGAGAACACCTTTCTATTAACATTTAGAAAGGACCCTAATTTGAGAGATCTGATTGATCTGGGAGGTATTGAACAACCTAGTAAACCTAAAGAATATAATATATTATTTTTTTATAGAATATAAAGGTTAGAATTTTTTTAGATGTGTCCAATGCTAAGGATGTAAGCTGATGAAAACTAGAACAAAAATAGAATTGTAAAATTCAAAAATGGAAGAAAAGAAAAAAAACTGACCAATTAATTATATGTGAAAGCAGATACTGTATGTGATATATGCTTTATAATACCTACAAACTTACATTGGAAGCACTACCTATGAATTGAGGGATTGAATCGATGAACACATCTATAATACTAAAACAAAGAAAGAGAATAATAGTGTTCATCAGAGGCTTTATCTCTGTGCCCCAATGATGTCAACACTGATTAAACATGTTGGGCGGAGTCTAGTGATCACTGTGAGTGGTAGGTATATTGTGTTGTGCATGCAGGCGATCTGGGACCAGGGGCGGACTTACCATTTGGAAACTCGGGCACTGCCCAAGGGCCCGGGGTCAGTAGAGGGCCCCATGAGATGCCCCTGGTACCTTTTTCATAGGCTTTTTTGAGTTTTGGCAACTCATGGGGCCCCATGATCCCCTATTGCCCGGGGGCCCCATGAGCTGTCAGTCCGCCCCGTCTGGGACTAAGCGGCAGTTTTACAGAGTGCGACACAGGCAGCACTGCTTCTTCACTTATGCTTTGCACTTTAGATAGGCAATATACCTTTTCCTCATGTGACTGTATTACCTCTATTTTTGTAAGATATATATTCTATATATATATATAGAAGTATATATTGTTTACTGTAATTGTTATAGAATATTTTCTGCAGAGATCATGATGTGTTTCCTTTTGTCTTTCTGAGCCTATCTGCCTGGTATATGCCTAATTGATTGGATCCAATAAGGAAAGCTTAAGCCTGACCCTATGATTTAAATGGACATGCACTAGAGACCTTTGTATTGAGGGCCTAACCTCAAAGGTAGGAGAGTGCCCAAAGGGGATGGTGAAAGTTTCAGGGAAGGATTACACATTATTGCTTTATGTATATAAATATCTGGACCTTTTTTTTTTTCCTGGACTGAGTTATAATGAAATATTAAAGACAAAGAAGACAGAGTTGT